GACACACAGGTGACACACAGGTGACACAGGTGACACACACAGGTGACACAGGTGACACACAGGTGACACACAGGTGACACAGGTGACACAGGTGACACACAGGTAACCGGGGCCATGGGGACATCGAGGCACACGGGGACACGGCCTGGCCCACACGGTGTCCCCAGCAGTGTCCCCACCTCTCGGGGGGTGTACCTGGTGTCCCCAAGGTGTCCCCAGGGTGTCCCCAGTGTCCCCAGGGTGTCCCTGGGTGTCCCCAGTGATGTCCCCACGTCCTGGGGGTGTCCCCAAGGTGTCCCTGGGTGTCCTGGGGGATGCCCCCAATGATGTCCCCACGTCCCGGGGGTGTCCCTGGGTGTCCCCACGTCCTGGGGGTGTCCCCAAGGTGTCCCTGGGTGTCCCCACGGTGTCCCCAGGGTGTCCCTGGGTGTCCCCGGGTTGTCCCTGGGTGTCCCTGGGTGTCCCTGGGTGTCCCCAAGGTTTCCCCAGGGTGTCCCTGGGTGTCCCTGGGTGTCCCCAAGGTGTCCCTGGTGTTCCGGGGATGTCCCCAGTGATGTCCCCACGTCCCGGGGTGTCCCCAGGGTGTCCCCAAGGTGTCCCGGGGGTGTCCCTGGGTGTCCCTGGGTGTCCCCAAGGTGTCCCCGGTGTCCCGGGGGTGTCCCCAGGGTGTCCCTGGGTGTCCCCGGGGGTGTCCCAAATGATGTCCCCACGTCCCGGGGGTGTCCCTGGGTGTCCCCAGTGTCCCGGGGGTGTCCCCAAGGTGTCCCCAGGGTGTCCCCAGGGTGTCCCTGGGTGTCCCCGGGGGTGTCCCAAATGATGTCCCCACGTCCCGGGGGTGTCCCTGGGTGTCCCCAGTGTCCCGGGGGTGTCCCCAAGGTGTCCCCAGGGTGTCCCCAGGGTGTCCCTGGGTGTCCCCGGGGGTGTCCCAAATGATGTCCCCACGTCCCGGGGGTGTCCCTGGGTGTCCCCAGTGTCCCGGGGGTGTCCCCAAGGTGTCCCCAGGGTGTCCCCAGGGTGTCCCTGGGTGTCCCCGGTGTCCCGGGGGTGTCCCTGGGTGTCCCCGGGGACGTCCCCGGGGGGGTGGCAGCATGACCCCGGTGAAGCCTGGCCCCGCAGGCTGATGCTGGTGGAGCAGGAGCTGCGCAGGGATCACTTGGGCGCCCACGACCCGTCCGAGGGCCGGCGGCGGCTGCTCGACGCTCAGGTGGAAATTACAATGTCATTGCTCTGCTCCGTGTGACATCGGCCATCCCACGCCGCGCTGGGGGCGCGCCCGGCCCGGGGGGCGGCCGGGGGGGGGCTGG